TTGATTTGTTTTTGCCAATTTCGTGCATATGAGATGGTGCCTCAAAGCTGTTTTCATTTACATCTTTTATTATTAGTAAAGTTCACATTTTTACAGATGTTTATTTATAAGTGCCATTTTCCTTTGTGTTTATTTTGTATTTCGTTAATCATTTTAAGGGCTCAGGCTATGAGACTGAGGTCTTATCTTTTTCTAACATTTTAAAATAATTTGCCTCCCCAAAGTCTAGTGTGCCTGTCAGATTTTGCCTCGTATTCACCTCCTCATTTCTTGTAACTTGTTAAAAGGATATTTAGCCCATTGAGTCAGTCAGCTTGTTCCCCTTTGAATAAAATTACCCCTCATATATAAACTGCCTATCTAAAGCTACCTTATAAGATACTATCAGAGAACTCAAAAGATTTTTGGTATATAGTACTTATACAGCTTAAACTATTCAACTAATCTCCTTTGGGCAAGCTCTAAGAGATTTCCAAGGTTAGTTTCCTTCCATTGGGATCAAGACTGTTGTTTTGTATTAGATATTCCAGATGTGCAAGACTATGAACAAGATAAAAGTGTATGAATTCTAGTTTGTAATTTCCTCTGAGGTCCAGAGACAACATGTTGCCTTCCATACTTGGTTTTACTGTTGGGTAAGTGGTAAGTGCAATTATGCCTATTAACTGTTGACTGGCTGATTTTTCAGAACCTGTATCTCTCAGTCATAACAGTGGCAGCTCTCTGGCAAAGAATGGTTCCAAAACTGTATTCTTTGGCAGTTCTAAGTGAGCCTTCAAGATGTAGAGCTGTGTTCCCCTTTATTAACCTGAGCTCATAGAGACTACTAGTCAAAGCAGGTTGGCTTTCACGTTGCATTTTATGAAAGTGGAATCCTTGGAAGTTATATGTAGGAACTAAATGCAGTGAAAGAGAAGATAGACAAATATTTAGCTATTTGTCTTTGTCTTCCTACCACATCAAGAAAACTTTCCGGGTTTTGCTTCTTTTCTTATCCTCAGTTTCTGGATCTTTAAACGAGTTGTGTAACCCATACCATTTCTGTTCATTCTTGTGCTTTCAGAATTGGCAATATATTATTTTCTATGGAAACTCAAACCACAGAAGAAAGAACACAGTTATATCATGCTGAAATAGACGCACTGTATAAAGATCTCAAAACTAAAGGAAAAGTATTAATTCTTTCATCAGAACTTGGGGTAGGTTATTATTTCCACTTTCTCCTGAAAGGGATTAATTTTTCATATAAATCTCTTTTTTATGTCTCTGCTAACATTCTTTTTCCACTATGAAAACATATACTATCCATGTAATAATCTTGAATTACTTTGTGTAATATCTATCTTCCTTTTCTGACATTATTCTTTAAACATACACATAACAACAACAACAACATAACTATAAAAATCTAGAACTTAGCAACTTCGGTTGAAGAAACAAAGTGATTGATTTCCATTTTTAGGAGCAGAATGATACAACTAAAGCAAGGTACTGCAGTATAATACACTTTTGGTATGGCTAGAACTGTTTGAGAAACTGCTCTATAATGAAAATGGCATGAGCTCTTCCCCTGTCATTTTTCTTCTTTCATTATGGTTTCTATGAATAATTATCATAAATTGATTCATGAGTTATTTATGTAAAATCCCCCTTTTAAAATTAACTATAACATATTTGGTTTCGATTTGTTTATAATAATGAGAGTGCACTTCAGGTTATTAGTGCTTTGTGTTTTTCAGATCTTTCCTATTTTATTAACTTTATTTGATTGCTTGCCTAGTCTAGATTCTAATTCAGTCTCATCACTGATTTGCTTTATGACCCCAGAAAAATCACTTCCTCTCTCTGACATCAGTTTATCAGTTTGTATATGTCATCGTAAGGATTTATGAGGTAATGTTAGCAAAAGACTTAAAACTTACCTGAGTTTCACATTAAACTAAATTTCTTTAGCCATTTAGTATGGGTTTGCCTGCGTACCTTGTCTTTTATGGAAAGGGAAAACATTCAAATGGAAATCATTCAGTTTCTCTAGAAAGAAGAAGATAGTTCAGCATAGACTATACATTAGGATTTACTAAGGATACGATAAAATGAAAAGTTAGACAGTTTCATTTCTTGTAGGGAGGAATAAGCCACCATTTTTCTTGATGGAAATAATTCGTATATGTCTTGTCACCTCATGGATAGTTATTTTACAATGCAGTATTTGGTGTTCATGGGTTTCTGTTTCCCTCCCCAGGAGGCTGATGCTGTCTGCAACCTAATGTCATCCTTAGTTTACTACTTCTATAACTTAATGCCACTCTCCAGAGGATCCAGGTCAGTGGTATTCCTTAATTATCAAAATTGTGCCCTGTGTGTGAACTGCCTTAGCATACAAGTAGAAAATTAAATATCAAGAAAATAAAACATTAGCCGACAGTACTCCTTTCCTGTCCCCCAAAAGACAACTAAATGGTCCCCATAAAACACCATATCATCAGAAAATGCCAGTTTTTTTAAAAAATGGGACTTATATTATTGTTTGTAGATTAGTCAGCTAGGTATCTGCTAAAACCAAGAAAGAATTCTAAAGATGAACTCCCTACCTTATTGCCAGAAAAGAAAATTTGTGAACTATTATTATTCATGAGAGATTTGAATCGTGAGTGCCTAGGTCAGGGGTGGGGACCTGTGGCCTTTTAGGTCCTTGGGTGCAGCCTTTTGATTGAGTCCAAGTTTTACAGAACAAATCCTTTTATTCAGAGGATTTGTTCTGTGAAGTTTGGATTCAGTCAAAAGACCACACTTAAGGACCTACAGGGCCATATGTGGCCTCATGGCTGCAGATTTCCCAC